TTAATAGGGATGGAAATTTCAGACAAAATTACAAGATGTTTTTTTTTTCACGGCACGATTTAAGTAATATTTATATGTTTGAACTGCTGCCCACACCGGTAAGCAAAATGACAAACAAACCGCTGTATGAGAGGGCAAGAAATATCACTTCATTTGGTTATGCAACAGTGGATGATTTACACATTTAGCATAACATGGGGCTGAAGTACTGCATGGTGGAGTGTTAGCAGGGAGGCCATGACAGTGAAGCACTGACACGGGTGGTCCTTATAATCCTTATCCTTAAATTATGGTGCACTTTCGGAAAACAGGCAAAATAATCTGTTCAATAGCTTTCAGACTTGGAGCTAATACATAGTGATCATGTCTCGGCAACAAAGAGCAAACTGCTCATGACGCTTATAACGCTATAACATTATATATCATTTATAACTTAAACAGTAAGTTTCATGACTCTTGAAAATTGAATATTCAAAATCAGAAAATACACCAAACCCTCGGCCTAGCCTTAGTAGCCTTGTAGCTAAACTGCTTCACAACTTGGTAAATTCCACAACCGGAGTAAGTTGTCTGGCTATCATTTGATAGATAGTTAGATAGAGAGATAGATAGATAACAAACAAAATACATGTTTTTATAGAAAAAGCCAACTCCACATCACTCTGGAATCCCTTTTCTTCCTCCTTTTATGACTGGAAATCAGATGTTTTGCTTGCTGGCTCTTTTCTACACGTGATTGAGTGTGGTGGTGTTTACCATGTACCTACTCTGATGATCTCAGTAGCTTCTTAACGCTGTGATAGGCAGAAAGAAGGTATGGCTACTAACAATGGGCCATAATGATGTATCCGTCTGGAAATGCGTCACACTCCACCCTCCAGGAGCTCAGCCTCCTTCTCCTCTATCTGCATGTGGAAGCACTCCAGGCAAATTGATCCTGTAATTCACCATGCAGTCCAGCTGCCCCTCGTTAAAATCTTTTCACCGTCTTTTCAAGTACAGGCCATCAGCAGGAAAATGTGCACTCATCCTGTAGCTACAAGAGGACTTTCAGAGTGGCTATTCCACTAGTCTTCAAGGTCTCAGTATATGAAATAGTGATTTAGAATAATGTTTTTGGAGCCTGAAGTAATTAAAGGTGATGGTCTGCGAGTCTTTCCTGGTTCAACTGCGAGCATATCATTGCTGCCTGATAAGAGTTGAGTATCTAATTTTGGACATGATCATAAGAGACATGATGCATACACAGTACACATGTAGAGTGCCTTGCTTTTATGGTAATATAGGAGACATATTTTCCAGTTGTTGTCACAGTTTAAAACATGACCCATGGTAATAAATGCAGCCACTTATGGTATGTTTATCTATTTATTCTGGACTTTAATGAAGCATGGTCACAGCACAAAGGCTCTGAGCATGCCAGTGTTTATTCAGGTGGGATGGCACATGATGTTTATACTCAAGGTAGATCATCCCACCTTTATACTGTAGATTTGTACCTAATGACTGCTACTTTTCTACACCTGTATACTGTAATGATTTATAATCACACTATCTGGTGTCACCCAGAAGAGGATGGGTTCCTTCTGAGTCCGATTCCTTTCAAGGTTTCTTTCTCATGTTGTCTCAGGGAGGTTTTTATTGCCACAGATGCATCTGACTTTCTCATTTGGGCTGTAAATATAAATCTGGCCAAAAATTTGTGGATACCTGACCATCACACCCATATGCGTTTTTTTTTTTTTTTTTTTTTTTTTTTTTTTTTTTTTTTTTTTTTTTTTTTTTTTTTTTTTTTTTTTCTCTCCCCCCAAACTTTTGCCACAAATTTTAAAGCACACAATTGTATAGTATGTCTTTGCTGTAGCATTACAAATTCCCTTCATTGGAACTAAGGGACCCAAACCTGTTCGAGCATGACAGTGCCTCTGTGCATAAAGTGAGGTCCGTAAAGACATGGTTTCCAAGGTTGGATTCAAAGAACTCGAGTGACCGGCACAGGGCCCTGACCTCAACCCCACTGAACACCTTTGGGAGGAGATAGAACACCAAATGCACCCCAGGCCTCCTCACCCAACATCAGTGCCTGACCTCACTAATGCTCGCGTGCCTTCACGGAAGCCATTTCCCCGCAGCCACGCTCCAACATCTAGTAACAGCAAAGGGGGAATAAATCTAGAATGGGATTTTCAAAAAGCACATGTTGGTGTGATGGTCAGGTGTCCACAATCTTTTGGCTTACCCATGCACTTTTATAGTGTGTTGCTATTGTTAAAGAATTTTACATTTACTGTAATCATATTTAATAAATGTTGTATCACATTTCTCAGAACACACATCGGAAACGTCATGACCAGGATCCTCACTGTAAAGGCAAAAAGATTGTACGAGTGCTCATTTGCAAGTGGCCTTCTGTGTGGTCAATACTATACAATACAATAATGAACAGCAAACCACATGTCACTGGTAACTCTTAAGTTTTTTCATTGCTGCTTTGCATTTCGCTCAACAGAATGAATGGAGGAAAGGCTCTAAAGTTTGAAAGCATGGACTCTTTGTAGTGGTGCTCTGTGTCTGGTCTCCATATGTTCCTCACAGTGGTGTGGAGAAAGACACTTGATCAGGTGCAGACCGGCTGGTACTCAGTTCTACCCTTCCTCAGGGTAAAACAATAGCCTGGGGAATATCTTTACATAAAACTAACACAACATCAAGTGTGATAAGTTAATTTTCTGTAGGTGTAATAATATTTATCCGCTATTTTCAATAGATGTAGATTGCTTTATGCACATGAGCCATGGAAAATTCATAACACCTCAGAAGGCCAACCATTTTACACAATGTCAAGTTCTCACCAAGTATAAATGTATAAGTGTTCTCACTGAACAAAGCAGCAGCACTCAAGGCTTCACACACACACACACACATTCTGCATATTCGGCCTTGATGATTTGCAACTTCCAGCTGCTGTTTTGCATGCTTGTATTTCTCAGGGCTGTTTCTGAATGCACCAATGTGGGTGTCTCTACCTGTTCACCAAAACAAAGCTCCATCGTCCTTCTTAAATATTTGCTCTCTCCTCTTGTAATGCAGATAGAGCTGCAGTGTGTTTACACATGGGATTGAGAGCTAGCAAGAGCCAGCGTGTTCCTCACTTTCACAGCTGACTGTGGCTGCATGACTGGGGTAGTTCTGTCCTGTTTGGAGCTTTAGATCGGGACGTATGAACCATGGTGTTTGGAGGACTTAGTCCAGATACACACAGAGCTAGATTGTGGCTGAGGAACAGACACAGTCCAGCACATGTGGATTCTTGTAACGGACATAGAAGGTGGGCAAGATCTCTTTGTACTTTTTCCTTGAAAAGGTCAGCTTTTATTTTGAGCGTTTGTTTTTACTAGTGAAAGAGCTCTCTCTGTGTATCAGTTTATGTATGTATGAGGAACCTCACAGCTGGATTTCACTTCAGTCTGAAGTAAATATAAATTGATTCCTGATGCATGAAAACATGTTATCATTTTCAACCTTTTTTTTCGTGAGAACAAACTTCAAAAATTTCATATTTGTGTTCAATGGCAAAACAATACACATTAAAAAAAATTTGTAGCCTAATGCGAGTTTGTCAGTGCTTTCTAAAATTTTTGGCTACATGAGACTTGTGTAAAATGGTTTAAATAAATTCCTGTCTTTCATGCTGTCATACATTAATTTAATAATTAATTAGAAAAATGAACAAAGTATGTGCTCTAAAAGTAATATTAGGCAACATGTAATCAGTTCATAATGGGCATTATCTGAAACTCTCCACCAGTTTGTAGCTGACTTCCATGCTAGACAAATGTTACACTAGCACTTTCATCCATGAAATTTTGGAAGGCTGTCTATAAGTGAACAAGCACTTTTAGTGATAGTAGTAATGGAATATGGAGAATGTAGTAATCCATCTTGTTTACTGATCTTCTTCTAAATATTTTTCCCCCTGTTGGCTAAATCTGGCTAAATAAATAGATGTGATAATAGAATAGGGGGCAGTCGTGGCCTAATGGTTTCAAGAGTCGTACTTGTAACCCGAAGGTCGTGGGTTCGAGTCTCAGGCCGGCAGGGATTGTAGGTGGGGTTAGTGAATGACCAGCGCTCTCTGCCACCCTCAATACCATGACTGCGGTGAGACCCAGGGGTACTGGGGGCGAGAGTGCGGGAGGGGTACTGGGGGCGAGAGTGCGGGAGGAGTATTGGGGCGAGAGTGCGGGAGGAGTATTGGGGCGAGAGTGCGGGAGGAGTATTGGGGCGAGCGTGCGGGGAGGGGTACTGGGGGCGAGAGTGCGGGAGGAGTATTGGGGGCGAGCGTGCGGGGAGGGGTACTGGGAATGAGAGTGTATCCTGGACTGCATGAAGCTCTCTCTGCTTGGCCAGACTCCAGCTTATGAATTTTATTTGGCCCTGTATATAATATTGTTCCAAATGTCTTTGAAGGCCTGTTGACAGGTCAGTTTAAAAGTTTCAGATTAGTGTTTCATATGCCCCAGTAACAACAGTAACACGCTGATAACCCGCCTTCTCAGAACTTTTCACAGGTCTTGTATGAGATCAGGACACGCTGCTGCCGGCCTGTGCTGAAAGCTTCATAATGTCTTCCCTATCATTGCTTAGTGGGCATCAAAGCTCATTATTTTTCTCAGCAGTGTTGTGTTTTGTTTTTTTTTTTTGGTAAACAATGCTTGAGCTCCACAATCACTTGATTTGACTGACTGCATTTGGATGATTTGAAATGAAGAGCATTTATTAGGAATTGGGTTAGTTTCTATATATGTGCCAAAGGCTGATTTATAGTCGAGTTAACTTCAAGTACTTCAAGATGACTGCTGCACATACCCTGCATTCATTAACGCGACATGTCTGCGTGGTGCAATACCAACGTAAATAGTGGAGGCAGTATGGCACCATGTAATACTGAATCCACAACTTAATGAATAAAGTTGTGTCTCAAATCACATACTCATGTACTACTGTAGACCGTTGCTGAGTACTAAGACTTCCGGTTTTCCTGTTGCATTTAGTGTTTGAATTTTAAAAACTTCTTAAACCTAGTGAAAGGTCTGCTTTGATTACCAGTCTTCTGGATTTTCTAGATTTGTAAATATATTTTGAATTAGAGTGAGGGTTTTTGATTCGAGATGCAGATCATGACATCACTCGGGTATCTCGTCAGTCTGTTTTAACGTTACTGTGAATGTAATCGCTGAACAGTTCAGCTAGGAAACCAGACGGACATGGATATTTTGGCTGTGATGTGCCATCTAGCGGACACCGCTTTTAATCCTCCAGATGTACACAAGTTATGAAAGTACGTGAACAATTCTGCTTGCGTAGCAGCTGCGTGCGTATGGTGAAAGTGAAGCATATTTGCTCCTTACGTGTTTAGACTCACAGGAACCTCCCTCGCTGTCTAAAAGAATACAAATAAATCCAATCCCCAAACAAAACACCTGCACCAAGTGAGACAAACTCACGATATAAAGAATATCAAAGCTGCAAGAATCTAGTAACCGGAATCAAAGGGGAAGAGCAAATATCAAGGTCTAAAACAAGCGCAGGGTTAGTTGAACAGTCAGATCAACCAGAGTTTTAATGATAGCAAGGTAATGAATATTAAGCTTAATGGGTCCAATTTACTTAGGACCCAAATAGTCCTGCAGCTATGGCATCATGAGCAGTAATGAGGAACAGGGAAATCTGGAGTAAACTGAAATAGATTGAACCCTTGGAAAACCTAAATTGGACTCACCACAGACAAGACAAAGAGAAAGAGCATTCGACAAAAAGAGGTAGAATACAACTGCATTAAGCTGAGTAACTATGTTTTTAGGTAGCGTGACTTGGAGCAATCTGTACTGCTGCACTGAAGTCTCTGTGAGAAACATAAAGGTGTCTTAAATATTAAAATACATTTGTGTTATGGCTTTATAGACATACACGTTTCTGATTAAGACTTTCAGTGAATTTCAAGATTTAGGATTATGGTTTTCAGTGGAGAATGTCTCCTCGTTGTAAATATAATTTGTATTCTCTGTTGAGAAGACCTGTCCTTGATCATTTAAATGCTAAATGAATATTCCTGAAGAGATCTTAGCTTAAAGTAGATATTGTAGTTGTCACAAGCAGCACTTCTTCTGATTTAAGTTTAAAAGAGTTATGAAAACAGTTGCCTCAGCAACATCTGACATGTTTATTTTTCTTCTTGTCATTAACTTGAGCCTTTTCCGCCTGTATACCATCATTTGGTATCTGGGGTTAAAGTCATCCAAGTGGTCCTGTAATGCGATATTAGTTTCTTGCACAGCTCCGCAAGCCGCAGGAGCCATGGAGCTGTTCCTTATTATTCAAGGCCAGATAGGATTGCAGCTGCACTACGCCAAAGTGCTGTTATGTGTTAGGGAATAAACCCATGGCTTAATTATTGATGATGACAAACCCTCTACTTCTGTCGAAGAAAAAATGGTGTTGGTGTCTCTTTAGCTTCCCCCTTTCTGCGCAGAACTGAACGGAAATGCGATGCTGGGGGCAGAATAAAGGGGGGTGGGGGGCGGCGAGATTCGCAGGAGCTGTTGTTGCAGGACATCACATTTGTATATACAGATGTTACAGAAGCACTTTCATGTCATTAGCATTGCTAAATATCATGCTGTGTACCATTATCATCTCCCACTGTGCAGTATGTGCGTAGCTGTCACTTTCAACAAAGTATAGCAGATATGATATCTCTGTTCTGCCAGTCAGTTGAGGTTTAGTGCATGGAGGCTTTAGTGCGTGCGTAATGGGGTGTGTGCGTGCGTGTGTGTGTGGGGGTGTGAATTTTTTGGGATCTATATTCCTCACTGGGTCTTTGTACCACCTTAATACCCTAAGTGTTGATTTGCTAGGAAAGTAGATGTTTGGGATCGGAGGAGCATTTTAATCCTGTGTAGATGGGAGTATTAATAACCATGCTAGCACCTTTGTTTTTGTCTGTTGAGTTCAATAAATAATTAAGGATGATTCTTTTGTTGGAGACTAGAGCCAGGTGAGGTGTTTGCGTGCGTGCTTGTGTGTAGGCTGAGCCCCTCAGTTTCCTGTTCTGCCAACCTCGTATGCTGCTTGTTTATGCCTCCTACACTGGTGTTGGCAGCAGAGGTGATGAGAAATGAAATGGCTGGCGTGTCCAAAGTATAGTTCTTTCTCCAGGCCTGCCATGTTCAATTTTATTTGTGTAGCACTTTTAACAATAGTCACAAAGCAGCTTTTCCAGAAATCTGGATGCAGATTTAGATCCCTGAGCCAGACATGGGGAAAAAAAAAAACTGCCTAAGAAGGCATGAGGAAGAACCCTTGTTAGGAACCAGACTCAAAAGGGAACTCGCCCTCTTCTAAGTGACACCAGATAGTGTGAATATAAATCATTACTCTTCTACAACTGCATACTATAAGGACAAATAGTACTAATTGTCTTGGAATGATGTGTTGGAAGTGTGTTGGAGTCCTGGAATAAGCACAGAAAGTGCTTATTATTAGAGCAGTAGAGTAGCAGAAGGGAAGGTGAGTCTTGTTTTGGGACGTGAATATCTTTAGGGTGTCCATGTGGGCCATCCACAGCCCACAGATTTCACACGGCTTTGTTTCTCCACACTCAGGAGGACTGGCTGGGACCGTAGGTCTCGTCCTGCTGTTAGAGCACATCAGAGCTAAGCAACACTCCTCATTGTGTGAGGTGCAGCAGTTATTTGCTTTTTCTGCCCATCAGATTGTCAGTGTAAACTGTGTTTGTCCTGTGCACAGGGAGAGATGTGTTTACACAGGCTCAACTGAGCGAAATGTATGTTTGGGTTTGTGTTTGCCTTGCCCGCCAAAATCACTGTGCTGCGTAGTGCATTTTGAGTGTCTCTGCTTTATAAATTTTGTTTGATGTTTTGTGAGCCATGTTAGGAGTTTTGCTGGTGATCCCCTTCTTTTCGGCAAGTGTGCGTGGCCATTTTCTCAGGGTATGTGTGCTATTGCTGTGTGTGTTTCCAGAGCAGCAATTTCATGTTTACCTTTCCTCTGTAATGTCCCTGGTTGTATCTTGTTTGAAAGCTGTTTTAATAATCGCTGTAATTTCGGGCAGCACGGTGGTGCAGAGTGTAATGTTGCTGCCTCTCAGCTCCAGGGCTCCTTCCTGAGCTCGGGTTACTCTCTGTGTGGAGTTTCACATGTTTTCCCCATTTCCGTGTGGGTTTCTCTTATTTCCTCCCAAAAATATGCTGGTGAACTGGTTATGCTAAATTTCCCCTGTTATTGAATGAGTTATTGAATGTGAGTGTGTGGGATGCCTGATGTCTTCCTGATTTCTCACGGCATGACCAATCTGTGTCATATGGGCCAATCTTGGGATTAAGAGAAATAAGTGCATTTTTTACGACAAGGTTTAGACCAATACTGTGGTACAAATTTTCATTAATGTCTTTCTGATTCTCTGGAGGTTGTGCTGCTGGAGCTTTATCTGTTGTTATTTTTAACATGTAAATGACTGGAAATCTAGGAACTGATGTTAACCTGGTTGTCCCACAGCTGTGCCTTCTGGGCATGCAAAGCCCTTTGAGAAAAGCTAGAGATATTCCCAGTTGTATGACACAAAAAAAGCCCACACATTAGAAGGTGCATAAACCTAGATGTAAGTCACTGCCAACATGCCTGAAGCAGGGATTCCTCGAGTGTGCTGTGCGCGCTAGTAGATGAAGACATAGTGTCAGCATTAGAGGACTCAGGGTAAGCATCATCCACTGTGGCACCAGCTTTAACTACTGGCTCCATTACCCAGAGCGGTGCAAGGCAGGCTGCACCAGAGCATTAACAGTAATCCCAGAGTTCAGCTGGGCTGCTTATGGGGGGATGTGAGTTGGATGGGTGGGATGAACTGGCTGCCTCATTGCTTTGTTTCTCTTTTCACATGTTCAACGGTGGACAAATCACTAGCCTGATGAGCAGATTTAGTGTCCAGGCTGTTTGTTTTTTTTATTCATTGCTTCTGGATGGACAAGGAGGTTCAGCAACCAGAGAAAGAAAATTAACATCCTACATTCTACTGACTTGTG